TTTTATCTCCCCTGTCGCCGTTGTCTCACGTGATACGTTTTATCATTATTTTGTCTACCTCTCTTCGCGTATGGTGTAAGAATCAAAGGCTGCAATGATTCGTCGAGGAAATGCAAGCGTTTCGCGTAGCGAAAAGAAAAACGAAATGCGTGCAAAGTGACGAAAGACATCAGCTGATCAGACGCACATGGAGCAAGATTAAGACGGAGCCGAGGCGGCCCTCGGCCCGTACTTAGATCGACCGAAAACAACCTGACGAGATCTCACGAAAGGAAAACGGGAAAAAAAAGAAAGAGAAGACGTTGATACGTTGACAAAGAACGACTTTATGTCGACGCGGTCGTACTTTCGTCTCTCTTTTAATTTACGATGTCAATTCGTACGGAGCTTTTTTTTTTGGCAACGTGAGTAATAAAAGGGGATGGAACAGTGTAACTATTAAAATTCTGCGTTTATATTGATTACTTGGTGTACAAGGTGAGGCATCTGGAACGTTTACGAGATACATTCGTCGAAGGAATATTAACAAGTCACTTCGTGCGTCCGCTATGTGTAAATTTTGTACTTCCTTCCCTCCGCTACATGTCGAAAATGTTGTGTGTGTTTGCGTGTGTATCAACGACGAAATAAATAGTCCGCAATTAACGAGGAAGTTGTATTACTACGATGGATAATGCGCACGGCCGAAAGCGTTTACGATGCCGTTATGATAATTTAAGAAGTTCGCACTATTATATGTGAAAATTGTTTTATTTTATTCATACAATTAAAACGGAGTATAATATAAAAAATTATACACAAGTGAAGTTCGTAGAGGCGTCGAAATAAATCAAGACTCTCTTACACTTTTCCGAGCAAAGATAACAAAATGATGTTACAACTGATAAGTACGTTCGATATGACTTGGTAAAAGAACGTGCATTTCTTCAGCCACGTGATATAAAATTTTGAAGTACGTTATTGTATTTCGTGTTGCCGTCGCGCGACGTTTCGGCGATTTTTTTCCGCGGTTCGATCTTCATTGCGTAAAAAGAGAGGCCGAGAAAGCTCGAAAATAGAAGGGATCGAAGCACTTCACACGCAAGTATATCTTTTCAATCGTTCTTTCTCCGTTCGAGTCGCTTTGCTCGAGAATAAGCGCCGGAAGCTACTTTACGCGACAATTTTGGAAAAACAATGCCTGCAATCTTCGGACGATCTGAGTGACGGTGGCTCGGCCGGGCACATTTGTGTGTACGTGTGTGTAATTAGCTTTCGTGTAATTAGCGTGTCTCCCGGAAATTATGCGTATGTACGTCAGCCTCCGCGCCAATAAATACAATAATTAATTAACGATAAAAATAAATACAAAGCAAATAGGTAATTATATCTCATTAAGCGATATAATTTGGTCTCTCCTTGGTGCGGTTTGCTCATTCATGTGTCCCTCACGACTCCTCTCCCCTCGGCTCAATCACTCTAATTAATTCTGCCTACTTCTCGCTCTACCTACCCTTCCGGCTATCTTTCGCCTGCCTGTCTGCCTGTCACTAAACGATTTGTTAAGTATGTCCAGTGAACGTGTAATTAGTCGATGTGGCGTGTTTGTGTACATATGTGTGTATGTATATATATGTGTATATATATAATCTCTCTCTCTCTCTCTCTCTCTCTCTCTCTCTCTCTCTCTCTCTCTCTCTCTCTCTCTCTCTCTCTCTCTCTCTCTCCCTCTCTCTCTCGCAATTTCTGAATCGCGCCGTAACTCTTGGTCTCGCAATCGCATTCTCGTTTTGACTCTTTCGCTAAGGCTAACTTTCTCTCTCTCTCGCGTTCTTGCTCGTTCGCTATATAAGCCAGATTCTACACTTCATACTCTCTCTCTTTTTCTATCTCTCTATCCCTCTCCCTCTCCCTACGCAAATCGCGTAGAAATATTTCGAAGCCAGATTCTACAGTTCATACTCTTTCTTTTTCTATGTCTCTCTCCCACTCCCTCTCCCACTCCCTCTCCCTCTCTCTCTCTCTCTCTCTCTCTCTCTTTCTCTTTCTCTCTTTGTCTCGGGCGCGCTCTCTCTCTCTTGCAATTTCTGAATCGCGCCGTCACTCTTGGTCTCGCAATCGCATTCTCGTTTTCACTCTTTCGCTAAGGCTAACTTTCTTTCTCTCTCGCGCTCTTGCTCTCTCGCTATATAAGCCAGATTCTATCGCTCTCTCTCTTGCTCACTCTTTCGTTGTCTCTCT